GTCGAAATTACCGGAACTATTTTCGACGTACCATTTACGCTCGAAATAATTTTGGTAATTTAGCATTATGTTTAATTGAATAATTAAACATAATTAAGTGATTAATTTAATTTAATCACGAGATTAGTAATCGTTCGGATTTTATTCCGAGTTCATGTTCATCGCCGTGCGTTGGGTGCATTCATGTCGTGTGCGAGGTTCGGTCCGAGTCCGCGTGTGCATGCCGTGCCTGTGCGTGCCTCGTCCAAGAAGGCCGTGCGGATGGAAGTGGGCGGAGTGACCGAGACCGTGCGTGTACCCGTGCGCCTCATTGCATGGGCGGAGTAACCAAGGTGCCTCGTCCTCATTATCCGTGCGCCTTGTCCTCAAGCTAAACCGTGCCGCGTGAGTGTGTGTGTCCGTGCGCTCCATTGTCCTCTAATGGGCGGAGTGCCCAAGGCCGCGCAACCTTCCAATAAGCCTTGTTCCGCGCGCTTTGTCCCTTTTGTCCGCAATACCCGTGCATGAGAGCATCTTGACCGGGCGCGCTTACACTTGGCACGTTCACGTGCATGAGCCGAACCCCTCTTTTCCTCCGCCCACATCTTTCGGTTTTTAAGTGGAGCCTTGGGAAAATTTATCCATTTCTCCTCCTTAATGCCGAGAGAATAGAGAGCATTTTTCCCCAACACTTAGAAAAATTTCAGCAAAGCATTTTAGCTACTTTCACTCGCGGCTAGTAGCTACCGCACGGCATCGCACTACGCATCGCTTGCACGCGGAAGGTCGGCAACGCACACGGGAAAGGTCACGGCCGAGAGTTGTAGAGCTTAGTCCGAAGGCTTAGCAAGAGGTAAGTTCCCGAGAATATCATGTTCATTTAAGATAAGCTATGAAAAAGGTCATGCATGTGTGTTATAACTATTGTCGTGCGCTCATGTAATATGTTTAAGTTATTTTCCGAACCATATTATGATTTTCATAGAATTCCCCGAACAATCTTGCATGCTTAATTTTTATGTGCAATATCATGTTTAATTTAGCTTTAATGTTCGGATAATATGTCATGTTGAGAATGTTTGGCCGAGGATAAGTGGTTGCGCACGTAGCGCACCACGGGCCGTGCGTGGTCACTCGTATATGTTAAGTTAACAATTCACCGAATAACCCTCGCATGTTTAGCCTTTATTTGCGAAATTATGTTGAATTGAACTTAAGTGTTCGGACGAATTTAGTCATGTTAGAGGGTTGGCCGAGAGAATATGTTGTTTGGTCGAGGAACGGCACCACGCCGTCGGCGGGGCACGGCGTGCCGCCGCAGCCATAGCAAGCCTTTATGTGAAACTTCATGTTTTCAGTATATTTATGTTCATATGATCATGTCA